CCATAATTCAAAGGCATCAACTCTTCTTCAGTCTTCCTTATTCATTGTCAAGCTCTCACAGGCATATGAGGTAATTGAAAATACCATGGCTTGGGTTAGGCACATCTTGGTCTTCAAGGAGATATCTTTGCTCTTCAGCACTTGAAAGAGGTCTTTTGCAACAGATTTGCCCAATGCGATACATTTTTTTGATGTCCTGACTGCTGCTTCCATTGGTGTTGATTGTAGAACCAAATAATATGAAGTCTGTGCCAACTTCAATATTTTCTCCATTCACCATGATGCTGCTTATTGACCCAGTTGTGAGGATTTTTGTTTTCTTTATATTGAGGTGTAATCCATACTGCAGACTACAGTCCCTAATCTTCATCAGTAAATGCTCCAAGTCATCCTCATTTTCAGCAAGCAAAGTTGTGTCATCAGGGTATTGCAGGTTGTTAATGAGTCTTCCTCCAATCCTGATGTCACATTCTTCATATAGTCCAGCTTCTCACCTGACACACTCTTTCTGATTTTAAACCATGCAGTATCCCCTTGTTCTGTTCAGACAACAGCCTCCTGGTCTATGTACAGGTTCCTCATGAGTACAATTAAGTGTTCTGGAATTACCATTCTTCTCAATGTTATCCACAATTTGTTATGATCCACACAATTAAATGCCTTTGCATAGTCAATGAAACACAAGTAAACATCTTTCTGGTATTCTTTGCTTTGAGCCAAGATCCATCTGATACCAGCTATGATATTCCTTACTCCATGTCCCCTTCCGAATCCAGCTTGCACCTCTCAAAGTTCTCTGTCAATATACTGCTGCAATCATTTTTTAATTATCTTCAGTAAGATTTTACTTGCATGTGATATCAATGATATTGTTTGACAATTTCCTCATTCCATGCGATCACCTTTCTTTGGAAGGGGTACAAATATGGATCTCTTCCAGTCAGTTGGCCAGGTAGCTATCTTCCAAATCTCTTGACATAGCCGAGTAAGTGCCTCTAGCGCAGAATCCATTTGTTGAAACATCTCAATGGATATTCTGTCAGTTCCCAGAGCCTTGTTTTTCACCAATTCCTTCGGTGTTGCTTTGATATGGCACCTCCTGAAATGGATAATCATTTATCAATTCTATTTGGTATAGTGACTCTCTCTATTCCATCCATCTTCTTTTGATGTTTCCTGCATCATTCAACATATTGCCCCTGGAATCTCTAAATATTGCAATTTGAAGCTTAAATTTTTACTCAGTTCTTTCAGCTTGAGAAATGCTGAACGTGTTCTTCTGCTTTAGTTTTCTAACTACTGGTCTTTGCACATTTCATTATGATAATTGACTCTGTCTTCTCGAGCTGCTCTTTGAAATCTTCTGTTGAGTTCTTTTATCCTGTCCAGTCTTCCGTTTGCTTTAGCTACTCTTCATTCAAAGGCAAGTTTCAGAGTCTCTTCTGACATCCATTTTGGTCTTTTCTTACTTTCCTGTCTTTTTAATGACCTTTAGACATTTGACTGCTAACCAGAAAGCTGGTGGTTCAAGTCCACTAGGCACTCTACAGAAGGAAGACTGGGCAACCTACTTCTGTAGAGATACCACCTCAGAAACCCCAAGGAGGGGTTGCTATGAGTTGCAATCGACTCTACAGCAGTGAGGGTTTGGCTTTCTTCATGGATAATGTCCTTGATGTCATCCTACAAGTCCTCTGGTTTTCAGTCACTGGTGTTCAGTGCATCAAATCTGTTTTTTAGATGGTCTCTAAATACAGGAGGGATATAATCAAGGTCATATTTTGGCTCTCATGGTCTTGTTTTAATTGTCTTCAGCTTCAACTTGAACTTGCATATGAGCAGTTGATGGTCTGTTCCACAATCAGCTCCTGGACTGGTTCTGGCTGAAGATACTGAGCTTCTCCATCACTTCTTGTCACAGATGTAGTTCATATGATTCCTGTGTATTCCATCTGATGAAGCCCATGTGTATAGCCACCATTTGTGTTGTTGAAAAAAGGTATTTGAAATGAATAAGTCATTGGTCTTGGAACATTCTATCATGCGATCTCCAGCATTATTTCTATCACCAAGGCCATATTTTCCAACTACCGGTGATTCTTCCTTGTTTCCAACTTTTGCATTCCAATCACCAGTGATAATTAGCACATCTTGATTGTATGTTTGGTCAATTTTAGACTGCAGAAGTTGGTAAAATATCTTCAATTTCCTCATCTTTGGCTTTGGTGGTTGGTGCATAAATTTGAGTAACAGTAGTATTAATTGGTCTTCCTTGTAGGCATATGGATATTATCCTATCACTGATAGCACTGTATTTCAGGATAGATCTTGATACATTCTTTGTGATGATGAATGCTATGCCATTCCTCTTCAATTTGTCATTCCCAGCATAGTAGATCATATGATCATCTGATTCAAAATGGCCAAGACCAGTCCATTTCAGCTCACTAATGCCTAGGAGATTGATCTTTATGCATTCTATTTCATTTTTGACAACTTCCAATTTTCCTAGAATCATGCTTCATACACTCCATGTTCTGATTATTAATGGATGTTTGCAGATGTTTCTTCTCATCTTGAGATGTGCCACATCAGCAAATGGGGGTCCCAAAAGCTTCACATCATTAAGGTCAGCTCTACTCTGAGGAGGCCACTCTTTTCCAGTTGTGTTTTGAGAGACTTCTAATCTGAGGGGCTCATCTTCTGGCACTGTATCACACAATGTTTCAGGGCTATTCATAAAGTTTTCCAGCAATAGACAGTGTTTTACTGATATTTATAATTCTGCCAACTATGAATTAGCATTATTCTGGCCAAATCTTTGAGAAGTAGATGGCCTCTTCCTTCTTCCAAGCCTGTCAGTCTGGAAGCTCCACCAAAATCTGTCTACCATCGGTAACCCTGATGGCAGTTGAAACACTGGTGGAATAGCCTCCAGCTTAGTGACACTCGAGCCACCACAGTATGACAAAATGACAGACAAGTTTGTCTCCCTCCGCTGTTCCAAACTGCATTTCCTGGTCTTCCCACTCTGTTCCCTTACCCGGCCTGCCCTCTGGGCACTCCATGCATACAAACTCTCACCTTCCATTGGTCCCAGGGCTGGCTTACCACAATGTTAGATTTGTAGAAATGCATTGAATCACATGTGGATATATGTAAACTTATAGAGCGGTGATGAAGCGAATATGGAAAATGAAGAATATCAAAGCAAGACAGGGATCTGTTTAATGTCTTGAGTAGCTTCATCCTCTTAGCTGGACTTTTCATGAAGGCAGGATTCATCATACTTATGAATCAATTCAAAATATGTTCAAGGGATTTTTGCATCAAGCACAAATGCTATCAGAAAAGCTTGTCTGACAAGGAACAAAGTTGTGGTCACCTCTTGGCCACAGCCAGCTACTCAGAGGAAGTGAGTACTTGTACCTGTGTGCTCAGGACCATAGTCATAGAGGACAACAAGCTCAACTGGCATAACATACTACACAAAAACATTGTTCCACATCTACTTTGGCGAGTAGTGACTGGGATCTTAAAAGCTTATGTGTGGTCATCTAGATGCAACAATGGGTCTCTCCTCATCCGCAAAAAAGAATAAATAAAACCAAGGACACATGGAAACAATTAGTCCAAGTGACTGGTACACCATGCGATCCTCAGACTACATGACTATGAGACCAGAAGAACTAGATGGTGCCTGACTACCACTGTCAACTACTCAGAGGGGGATCTAAGCAGGAGGTCTTGGATAGAGTGGGAGAATAGTGTGGAACAAAACTCAAAATCATTAAAAAAAAGGGGGAGGATCAGGTTTGCTGGCCTGATAGAGCCTGGTGGAACCCCTGAGACTATGGCCCCTAGCTGCCCTTCAGGTCTGGAATTGGAATTGAACCCACTCCTGTGGCTTCCAGCCAAACAAATGACAGGCATATGAGGTTAACATTTATATTAGCAAGATACACTCCTTGGAGAGATCAATCATGGGAGAATGGAAGGGCTGTGCATGTACAGGGAGATAGCTCAGGGAGCAGGCGCACATGGGAGGGAAGGACACAGGGAAGAGGTAACTAAGGGGAGGAAGTGAAAAATTAACAAGTATTTATTTTTAATAAAAACTCGAGAGAAAATTTCAAAACAGCGAAAAATAGAAGTAAAGTTATCTAAATTCTGGCCACTGCAGTGCAGACATATTCAGCACCTCTCACTGGCCCGGCACGACCCTGTCTTAGTAATAGTTACTTGCAGTCATGCCAAATATCTGCCATATCACTGGAAGACTATTTCAACAACTTGTTCAGCAGGATACAGGCAGTTTTTCACCTTAAACCTGAATGATCCATACTTAGGAACTTTCCACCTTAGGTTACCAAAGCTATTTGCAAAATAAAAATCACAAGTCTGGGAGAGGAGGTCCTGAAGCAAGACCAAGCCAACACTACAAAAGTACGAATCAAAACATCTAACATGACTGGTGTCTCTCTGTCTGTCTGTCAACTTGGGAACCCAGGCATGAAGAAATGGTGGCGAACTCAGATGTACCAGCCTCCTCCCCAATGGCACTACAACCCAGAAATGACTATGTAATGTTTTTTGTCTACATTAACTTCATGGGCCTATTTCCACAGGAAAAAACTGGAGCCTCTCTTCTCTTAGTATACATCCTAACAGTTCAGATCACGGTGAAAATGTTTCTTAACATCTAAAGAACTAAAGGTTTGCCTGCTCCATACCAGTGTAAATTTCCAAGTTAACAAAATAAATCATCATTTATAAAGGCCACTAAACTTGGCAAAGCAATAGTCAATTATTTTCTCTTATTCAAATTTAGAAATTAGAAGCAAAAAAGCCTCTATGAAGGTTAAAATGGAGGAAAATGGTTCTTAGGCGGTTCTAATTGAACAGGCATATGTGTAGACAGATTCTGCTGCAGCAAAGCCCTGTGAGTTACTAGCTGCCTGCAACATGGCTAGAGCTCTCCTTTCAATGCCTTCACTTACAGTCCTGACTGTTGGTCAACATGTGCGCCTCTCTGCACAAGAACTGGAATTGCTGCATGGTGCTTGTTCATAACAGCCACGATGATAACAGGCCGGTCTTCATTATCACTGCAGTTGGGATCTGCCCCCTGCAGCACATGGAAAAGAAAAAGTTTACCAGAAAAGCCTGTACCCAACAACAGCTAATCACAATCCTATTGTGTGTAGCAAACAATGTATTATGCTTAATAGTTAAAGTTCTTATAGAACAAAATTGTTTTTAAGTCAAAGGAGAAGAGAAATAGAAAGCCTAAGCTGTTGTTAGTTGCTAGTGAGTCAGCTCTGACTCACGGTGACCCTGTGTATAAGAGAACAAACCTTGCCTGGTCCTGCACCATCTTCATGATCGTTGGTATGTTCAAGTGTATTGCGGCTATTGTGTCAGTCCATCCCATTAAGAGAAATCCTAAGACTCAACCTACAATGGACAGAGCTGCCAAATCACCTGGGTGATAAAGCTTCTGCTCCCCACATCTGGAGGAACAGACATCCCTGACAACTTCGTTTCTTTAGGAACTTCCAGGTGAAGGACACATGGAGGTCTCATGGGTCACAGACCAGGAATTATATCCATCTTCATACGTGTTACTTGGGACCATTTTTCCACCTATTTTTTTGTTATAAAAACTATTAACAAGTAACAATACAATACTCTTGATCACAAATTTAACTCATTCTCAAACATTTCTAAAAATTAAATGGCAGTGATTTTTACCACAGTGAACAAAACTTCCATCTGGAAAAGGCAGAGGGTACAACACAGGTCTGAAAATCCTCAGAGTCTTATGTTTTGGTTACACTCACTTCATCAAGTAGCTGTTCAATTACAGAGACTCTTCCTTCCCCTGCAGGTCCGACTTCCTTCAGCAGGTGTCTGTTTTCAGGCTGCAGAATTATAGAATGTGGTCATTGCCATGGTCTCAAAATAGTTTTACAGTTAAGTAGTCTTACTTGTCCAGGCCCAAATGTTTCCTTTCCAAGGATACAGCCACATTGTCATTTGTATTCTGAGCCACAGGGACAGGCAAGCATGAGTTTATGGATGTGTGTGTGCAGGTGTGTGGTCTCCAACAGCAAGCATCAATCTGAAGAGTCCCTGCATGATGCAAAGAATTAGTGTGCTGGGCTACTAATTGGAGTCCACTCACAGGTGCTTTGAAGAAAGATCTAGGAATCTACTTCTGAAAAATCAGCCATTGAAAACCCGATGAAGCACAGCCCTACTCTGACATGAATCAGACTCAACTCTATGGCAACTGGTAACTGGTAAAGTAAATTGTGCTGATCTCTGAAGCCCTACCTTGGGGAAAGACACTATACTGATATTGCTTTAAGTTATTAGGGACAGGGATGCAATAAGAAACCCACACTAGTTTTATTGTGAATATTTCTAGGCAAAGCCTCCAGATGGATCCTAAAACACTCCATAAAATGTTCAGTGTCAGCCTGAAGATGACAGTTCAAAACTGTGCTCACCTGAGGAGTGAACCAATAAAACTGACCTCTTGTTAAGGAAAGAAAGCTCACACTTATCATTAGAAATCTGAAGAATTTATTATAGTTTATATTTTCAAAATGCTTTGAAATTATTTTGATGAGATAATATTCACATTAAATCTAAATTCACTGTTGTATACAGACTTTCAAAGTACTGATTGCTAGAAAACTGAAGGAAGGAATCCAGAAAGCAGGAGACATTACTTTTAGTATGTTCGTGCCACTGGATTCCAGCATTAAGTGTAGAATGGTCAGGGGACCACCATTGCCTTGTTTCCAAAGTAGAAATAATACCTCCTCCCTCCTTGGCTCCCTGGGAAGCCATGAGGATAAGGATATGGGTCAAGCTTTGTGAGCATTTCAAAAGAAAATGCCAGATCCAGGTTGTGGTCTCCCTGCTTGAGGGAAGAGTGCCCCTGAACAAAGTACTTTAATCATTAACCCACTAGGCACTGTTCTAGGAGGGCCCTATTTCTGCTGATTTTAATTTCTTATTGGGGACATATACGACAATGCTCTAGAAAGTCAACCTCATGAGTTCTGAGACCTTTGTCTCTTTAGTTAATGTTTGTTTGTTTGTTTGTTTAATAAACAAGAAACCAATTATAAAGCACTGTAGTGGTTATTTGTCATGGCTTATGGCCATGATAAGAACTCTGTTTGAAAAGGCTTCCTACATTTTGAAAGTGCCCACATTATGTATTAGTTTTCTAGGCTCTCTTACAACTATGGCCTCTAAACATGTAACCTAGGCCTGGCTTCTCAGTAGATTTGAAAAGATCATGCCTAGCATATATTTGGGAGCTCTAATGGTACAGTGCCTAAGGCATTTGATTGCTAACCAGAAAGCTGAAGGTTCAAACCCACCAGCCACTCCTCAGAAGGAAGATTGGGCAATCTACTTCCATAGTGATACTGATTCAGAAACCCAAGGAGGGGTCACTATAAGTCGAATCCAACTCAACGGTAGTGAGTTTTTTTTTTTTTTTTTTCTTTTTGGCATATATATGCTCAAAATTATCACTGAATGACTGAATTGTTTTAGCTTTTGATACTTATTGCCAAAATGCAAATGAAATAATGACACACAGCAACAGAGGAATTCAGGTCACATGCAGAGTACGAGGGTAGAGTCTCTCAAATTGTTTGTTGTTATTAAGTTCATGGAACTCTACACTCCTCTTACATTCATTAACAGTATTTCAAACTAGAGGAAGGTAGAGAGTGCTAGGAATCACAGCAATGAAAGTTAAAACAACAAAAGCACAAATAGCAAAAGACAAAATAAATAAATGGGACCTCATAAAAATTAAAAACTTTTGTTCATCAAAAGAGTTTACCAAAAAAGTGATAAGGCAAGTTACTGACTTGGAGAATATCTTCAGAAACTATATATCCAACAAGAATCTAATAACTAAAATATATAAAACTTTGACAACTTAGCAACAAAAATATAAATAATCTAATCATGAAATTAGATTTCGTGATCTGAATAGATATTTCACCAAAGAAGACATTCAAATGGCCACCAGACATATAAAAAGATGCTTAGCATCATTAGCCATCAGAGAGATGCAAATTAAAACCATAATGAGATACCATTTCACTCCCACTAGGATGGCTAAGATAAAGTACAATTTAAAAAAAAAAAAATGAAAATAACAAATGTAGGCAAGGATGTGGGGAAATGTGGAACTCTAATCCATTGCTGGTGGGAATGGAATATGATACAGCTGTGGGAAACAGTGTGGTGGTTCCTCAAAAAACTAAAAATAGAACTACCATATGATTTAGCAATTCCACTCCTAGGTACACATCCAAAAGACCTGAAAGCAGAGACTCAAACAGAGACTTGTACATAAGTGTTTGCTGCATCACTATTCACAATAGCCAAAAGGTAGAAACAACCTATATACCCATCAACAGATGAATGGATAAACAAAATGTGGTGCATTCATATAATGGAATACTACTCAGCCAGTAGGAGAAATGAAATCTTGGTACATGCTGGTGGAATAGTGCCTAAGGCATTTGACTGCTAACCAAAAGGCCATTCAAACCCACCAGCCACTCCTTGGAAGGAAGATTGGGCAATCTACTTCCATAGAGATACCTCCTCAGAAACCCAAGGAAGGGTCGCAATGAGTCAAGTCGACTCAATGGCAATGAGTTTTTTTTTTTTTTTTCTTTTTCTTGGCTACACTATAGATGGAGTAGAAGACATTATGCTCAGCAAAATAAGTCAATCACAAAAGAACAAATACTGTATGATCTCACTTACATAAAAACTCAAGAAAGACAAAATATATAGAGAACAAAGTTTGTTAGTGGTTACCGGGGGTGGGAGTGAGGGGAAAAAATTGGTTAATGGTGATGGAAAAATTACATTAATTAAGCTCTGGTAGCATAGTGGCTAAGTCACTTGCCTGCTAACCAGACGGCTGGCGGTTCAAACCCACCAGCCACTCCTCGGAAGGAAGGTTGGGCAATCCTACTTCCGTAGTGATACTGCCTCGGAAACCCAAGGAGGGGTCGCTATGAGTCGGGGCCGACTCAACGGCACATAACAACAACAACAAAGGTTACACAGCCACTTATTTTCATTGCTGTCAGTAAATTATACACCCGTAAAAAAAGTGAATTGGCAAAAGTCGTGTGATAGATATATTTATAAAAATGACAGGAAAAAAAAAAGAGTAGGTGCTGAGGCTGCTTATGTACAGCTAAACATCTCATGGGATTTGGTTCTTTAGTTTCAAGGTTTAGGGTCATGGTTTCATGGGACATCCTAGTTTATTGGCTTAAAACGTGTTAGTGTTTCTGTTCTACCTCCTAGTTCACTGTGTAGTGCCCGGGGTCTTAAAAGCTTGCAAGCAGCCATACAAGACACAACAATTGATCTCTATTCACATGGAACAACAAAGGAAGGAGAGTCAGGAAGAGGAGGAGGATACTAATATACTGGTAATTGCCTCCATGAACAATTGGATGGTGTCTGGCTATCATTATTGAACATTTTGATCAATGATTCCATATAAGAATCCTGATCAAAATGGAGAAAATGCAGAACAGAATTTCAAATACTCATGGACTCTAAACTTTATAGAGCCATGGAGGTTGGATGAGCCCATGAAATTACTGCCCTGAAATTATCTTTAAGCTACAAACCAAAAATATTCTCTGAAGTCATATTAAAACCAAACAACAGTTTAGCTTTACAGGTAAAAAAAGGTCTACCTTGAGCATTCTGCTCTTTTAAAAACTATCTATATGAGATAAAATTGACAAAAGCAACTTGAAACATTAGTTAGGAACTCTAGAGGGCAGTAGTTTCATGTTAATGAGGTAGAAACAACTCAGAAAAAGAAAGTGAGAATGGCTGCACAACTTGAGGAATGTAATCAATGTCATTAAATTGTACATGTAGGAACTATTGAATTGATGTATGCTTTGCTGTGTATATTCTCAATAACAACAAAATAAGATTTAGAAAAAAAAAGTTCAAACAATTTTAAGGTCTTTCACCCAAATTCACTGGGTGAATTATATGCAAAATATATGGTGGGAAAAAACAAAATGAAAAATAGAGTCTGCCTCAGGGAAATTATAATGCAAGTCAGAAAACTAAGATGGACATTACTAAGGAAGCTTTGAGTGTTTAGCTTAACTGAAAAGCCACTGCCACTGCCATCAAGTCAATTCCAAATCACAGGGACCCTATAAGGCAGAGCAGAACTGTCCCATAGGGTTCCAAAGTCTATAAATCTTTATAGAAGCAGATTGCCTCATCCTTCTCCTGTGGAGAAGCTGGTGGGTTCACACTGCTGACCTCTTGGTTAGCAGCCCAACGCTTTAACAACTACTGCACCACCAGAGCTCCTTAGTATAACTGAAGGTGGAGGAAAAGAACTGACACTGTGCCCCATCTCCGTCTCAGGCCAGGAGATGCAGGCTTTGGGACTTGTTCCTAATTGCATGTTTTCATCATACTGCAGCCAAAAAGGACCAACGAAAAGTGAGGTGATGGACTGAACAAGGGCATCCACTGTTCCATTCTCCAAAGCTCCAATTGAAAGTGTTCATGGTATATTTCTTTAAAAAAAAAAAAAAAAAAAAAAAAAACTCTAATAACTTGATAAACTCGTGAAAGTGTAACATCAGTGGACCAGGAATTTTGAGAATATTGAGAGTAAATGAAATCTGACTGATATGGAAATCAAGGCAAAGAAAATCCCAGGGAAGATACCAGAGTTATGAGTGTTTTCTAGATAAGCTCAAAGTTAATCGATAAAGTGGGCAGTTGCGGTACAGGCTGAATTCATGAATGAGTGTATTATTAAAGGGTTTATAGCTAAGATAGCTGCTGCCCTCCTCACCCATGCAAGAAAAGCAGGAGACTTTTGCTCCTTACTTAAATCTCAGTAACTCTTTTTCAGACAGCATGTGGTTTGTGTGGCAAAGGTTTCTACTGAGAGCACTGGGGCTCAAGAAGGAAGGGGAACAAAGACCAGATCATCTTAACAGATACAGGGGAGGCAGCTCCATCCAAGAATGAAATATACTAGAATGTTTCACACCAACAGCACCACCACCACTTCCACAGTGACAATTTAGGGGACCCCTCAGCTTTCTCCCTACTCTTTGCTAACACACCTTCCAGGAAAGTCTGCCCAATAGCATGTCCTATCCACTCACATATGCCATGTGCCCATCTGAACACACATGCTAAACACCTGTACTAATCAGACTATTCCTTCATTTGTCATCATGACCAGACAACCAAGGATCATTGCATATTTAAGACAAACCAACATCAAAAAATGACCAAAATGGGCAGATAAAACTGACTCCAGAGGAAACAGAGGTGATTCAGAAACTCTTGAAATATTTGGGAAACTTCTGCCTCCATAAAATACACTATCATGAAAAATAGAGGGGGGAGGGAGAAAAAACAGAAAATAAGAGAGTATTCTTCCATTAACAAATGTGAAAATGAAACATTAAATAGACAGGTGGAAGAAGATAGCTACAAGGAGTACATACTATAAGCTGTTCTTTCTTTTCTTGAAGTGTCTTGGCCTTGAAGTTCTTTGTCCTCTTGACTTTTTCAGTGGTATATGAGGTACTCTGGCTGTAGTCACTCACTGAAATGACAAAAAGCTGAGGTCCAAAAGGATGCCACCTCACTCCCCAAAGATAAAGAGTTACTGTACTTCTATGCCACTCAAGATGACTTTGAGATATTTCTATGTGCTTAAAACTGGCAGGAAGGACTTCTGGCGCAATATTCCTCACTACAAGAACAGAGGGAGTGGGAGAGGGGAAGTAGAAGGGATTACAGTTTTTAGGCTCAATAGAGCACCCTTAAATGAATCCGCCCAAGTCCTGTGAAGAACTTCCAAAATCTCATCCCTGACTCTGGGAAACCAGAGGATTAAAAGGTCTGGAACATAAGATGTGTGGTGGGACTTACAAACTTTAAGCAATTTTCTGCTCTCCTTGCAAGTCCATCAATTGTTTAAAAATTCCCAGAGGGAAACAACTCACCTACGCTGGATCTGCTGCTGGATAGCCCATTACCACCCTCGGTAACACTGCTTAGAAAGTGGTCACTGAAATCCACCATCTTGTTGAAGTTATGGTTCTGGCCAATGAAAAAATTCAAGCACTGTAAGTGATAAGGCTGCTGTGTCCCAACAGAAAGAATTCTCTGTCCACCTGCTGCTCTTTTGTTAACAGTATCTCTAACTATCCAGTCAAGTCTGAAACCTGGACACCCTTCCTGACATCCCCTTTACTTCACCATGACATTTTGTCCATTTTGCCTTTTAAACAGCACTTCAGTCTGGCCCCTCCTCTTTATCACTATGGTAGTGACCCCTTGTCTCACATGGGGACCACTCCAAAGCTTTCCAACAAATTTCTGCCAGCCTACCTTATATGTGTCTGTCACCTTTGTACAATTTATAACTAACTGTGGCCCTCTCCTGCTTAAAACCCTTCATTGTCCTGGACTTAAGGTAGCAGGCTGGGGAGTCTCCAGATTGCAGTGTTTGAATCCTGTTTCTGTTACCTTCTTGTGACCTTGGAAGAAGCAAGTTACTTAACTTCTCTGAGCCTTGGTTTCCTTACCTGCAGAGTGGAAATACTGTGACCTATCTCAAAAGGATGTTGTAAAAGTAAAATGAGAGAAAATGGGTGCTATAAAATGAGGACAGATACATGGGCCAGACATGGAATTCTGTAACCACCTGGACTAGTTCTTCAGCATGGCATCCTGCTCCATATCTATGTGGCTGTCCTCCTACCATGGGCAACTACCTGCTACTTCCTGGACACTAAAACACAGAGGTTAAGGAAGAAGACTTGCAAGCTGGGGATAATTCTTTCCCTTCTGCTTGACAGACATTCTGTGATAGATGCTGTCAGTGCCCCACCCAGTCCTCCTTTCCTGATCAAGATACCAAATCCAGCTACAAACTGCTCACATTGGACCCTTCACCAAGGTCCTGCTCTCAGTAGGTGGGTGCTGCCTTGCTCTAGCGGTTATGGCTCTTCCTCACCTTGCCTCACACAGGGACAACTTGATGGAGTTACTTATGCTCCAGAGCTCCCTCTGGATCAGGCTAAAGCTAGAATTTGCTCAAGATCCATTCTCACTCAATTTCCCACCTTGTCCTGCTTCCTCCCTTCCCTCCCTCCCTTATCCTGAGAGCATCTCCTTGGCCCAGGCTCTGCTCTAAACAGCATTTAGTGCTTGAATTGGTTTCAAAGCACTTTTATGTGCATTATCCCATTTGATATTTCCACCCCCTTTCTGCGTTAGGCAGGGTCCTGTGGTGCAGTGAATAACTTGGTATGGCTTTTCTAGCCAGTCTTTGTGACTCCCACCAGATTACTGGGTCAAATCCAAAACCAACTCACTGCCATCAAGTCAACTCCGACACACAGTGACCCCTCCTTGGGTTTCTGAAGCGGTATCACTACAGAAGTAAATTGCCCAACTTCCTTCCAAGGAGTGGCTGGTGGGTTTGAACTGCCAGCCTTCTGGTTAGCAGTCACATGCCTTAGGCATTATACCATCAGAGCTGGGACCATGCAAATAAGGTGAATGGAACTCTAATGTGAGGATTGGTTAGTTTTGCTATGCTGGTGGGTTTAAATGAGCCCTCCTACAGGCAGAAGAGGGGATCTCAGTGCCATCAAGAGAGAAGAACCAGAAGTAGAGTGGAGTGCATCCTTGGACCCAAGACCTGTTTGCTGGACCTCCTCAGAAGAGAGATGGCAGAGATAACTGGCAAAGATGACCAGCAGAGACAACCACAGAGGAACTAAGAAGCATAAGATAAGAGTGGCAGGCTTGCCAGCCCATGGAGAAAGCTGAGTGCCTTTGGGTAGGAGGCTTGCTCGCAGAGGCGGGTGTACCTAGGTGTACCTATCAACAGAGCTCAAAGAGCTTTGTGACACTTACCTGAGCAGAGCAGAGGCCAAGCCAAGAGGCCAAGGGCCAGGGAGTCATGCCTGAGGGCATAGCAGAGGGGAGACTGTCCTGATCAAAGAATTGCATCTTGAGCACATTACTGAACCTGAATTGTAACCTGTAACTTCCCTAATGAACCCCCTAATTATGAGTATTGTCTGTGAGTTCGGTGTGGTCATTACAATGAATTGTAAAACCCAGTAGAGAAATAATGAGTACTGTGGGAGGCATGGTTGGTGTCAGAATTGGTAAAAAGGCTGGAGGTTGTGGCATGTCTAGCCTCATAGGAATAAGCCTTGGGCTGCTGATGATTGTGTCTCTTCCTCATGAAGTTAAAGGCGGTCAGAGGATGCCACTTCCTTGTCCTTTTTGCAGTTGGTGTCAGAAGTGGGATCCACTGCAATGGCTTCAGACTCATGGAAGCATGGGACTTTGTAAAAGAAAGAAGCCAGAGGCCTGAAAAATGAAATTTGATTCTTAGATGGTTATTTTAGTTGTTACCTGTAATGGTAGAAAGGGATATAAGAGATATTATGCTGCACCTGGTGGTGTAGTGCCTAAGGCATTTGATTGCCAACCAGAAGGCTGGTAGTTCAAACCCACCAGTCACTTCTCAGAAAGAAGAGTGGGCAATCTATTTCTGTAGAGACATCTCCTCAGAAACCCAAGGAGGGGTCACTATGAGTTGAAATAGACTCCACGGCAGTGAGGTTTTTGTTTTTTTTTTGTTTTTTTATTATTATTATATTTTTTTTATGCTGCAGCTGAAGGAAGAAAGGCCTGAGGCAAGAGTGAGGCCAATTAAAAGAGCTGGTTGACTGCATGCCAGGACTTTGGGAAAGAATGCCAAAGGTCCAGAACCACAAGTACAGAATGTGAAGATAGTCAAGGTGAAGAGATGAAACTGGAATGTTTTAAAAAGGGTATGTTTTTTGGATTATGTGTGTATCTGAATGTACCATGGATATTGAATGTTCTCTTGACCTAATGTATGTTAGAAATGAATATTGGATATGGATAATAGAGAGTGTGTAAGTCTGCTTTCAGCTAATACTTGATTGGACATATTAAAAAGGGAACTAGAATTTGCCTGGAAGAAACATAGGTTGTTGGTTCAAATGCAGTAGCCCTGGGTATAGAATATTGGTAGTTTAAACTGAAAACTTGAGCCCTACCCAGAACCTTCAGCATCATGAAATTTGCATTTGAAAAGACACTGAGACCCACCCAAGACTGCTGAGTGAACAGCAGATTTGCATTTGAAGGAAGGACTTGCAGAGAAAAAATTGACTGTTTGGCTTTTTGAATTTTGAGCAAGTGGTTTGGCTTTGGGTGAAACAAAGCTGGAAAGTCATGGCCCATGAGTGAAATCCCTTCCAGGACCAGAAGTTAAAGAGAGCTGGTGAGTAACAGGCTTGCATGCTGCTCACTTGTGACCACCTGGGTCCACTTGATGAGTGGAAGTAAGGGAGGTCCAGCAATGAAGAAATGAGCTATGTTTGGTACTCTTTGACCTGGCCCGCAGAAGACAGGAATGAGAGCAAGGGCTAGCTGGTCTGAAGTGCAACGAGTTGTGTAGAATCCTGAGCCTATTGGCATTGAACTAGCTCCTGAGGGCTAGGGATGATAGAGAGAAGAGGCTGGTTGGTCTGAAGTGAAGGGAGGAGTCTGAATTCCCAAGCTTGCAGGTGGTACCCATGGCCTAGCTTGGATGGCTAGGGTTGAGCTGAGCACAACCTAACCAAGTGAAGAGGAAGATGTTTGACACTGAGCTGGTGTTAAGTTATTGCAATTTTATGGCTTGCTCTGGACTGGACTTTGCGTATGGATGCAGATGCTCAAAGTTCCAACTGGAATAGAAGATTCTTCAGAGAAAGGAACATGCTTGTATCTTCATAACACTGGATTGATAGGGATGGGCAATTTAGAAATTAGCTATCTAAATGTGGGGAGATAAAGGCATAAAGTGGCTGGCTTACACACTTTCATGGGTGTGCTTATTCTTAAACTGATTGGGAAAGGGATGTTAATTTTTGAAGTATGAAAGGGACAATGGCTAGAAAAGTAAGGGGTTGGTCTGTGGTACTGTGAATTACTGGGTATGACTTTTCTAGCCAGTCTTTGTGACTCCCATCAGATTACTGGTGGGAGCATGCCAATAAGGTATATGGGACTCTAATGTGAGGATTGGTTAGTTTTGCTATGCTGTTGTTGTTGTTATGTGCCGTCAAGTTGGCCCCGACTCATAGCAACCCCTCCTTGGGTTGCCGAGGCAGTATCACTACGGAAGTAGATTGCCCAACCTTCCTTCCAAGAGTGGCTGGAGGGTTTGTACTGCCAGCTTTCTGGTTAGCAGTCAAGTGCTTTAGGCACTATGCTACCAGAGCTCCTTTTGCTATGCTACAGGGCTTAAAATGACCCTTCTAGAGGCACAAGAGGGGATCTGACTGCCATCAAGAGAGAAGAGCCAGAGATGGAGTGGAGTGCATCCTTAGACCCAAGATCCCTGTGCTGGACCTCCTTGGCAGCAATGGCAGAGACAACCACAGATGAACCAAGAGGTACAAGATAGAGCAGTGGGCTTGCCAGCCCATGGAGCAAGAAAGCTGAGTGCCTTTGGGCAGGAAGCTTGCTGGCAGAGTGGGTGTACCACCTGTTGGCAGAGCAAAAAGAGCTTTGTAACACTTGCCCGAGCAGGGCAGAGGCCAGGCTGAGGGGGCAAAGAGTCCGGGAGATGTGCTTGAGGGCATAGCAGAGGGGAAACTGTCCAAATTGAAGAAATGTATCCTGAGAGCAGTCCTGAACATGAATTGATACCTGTTATTCCCGAATAAACCCCATAATCTTGAATATTGTTGGTGAGTGTGTGGCCATTGCAATGAATTATGGAACACAGCAGAGTAGTAAGTGCTATGAGAGGGATGGTTGATGTCAGAACCGGTAAAAAGGCTAGAGGTGGTGGCATGTCTGGCCTCAAAGGAATAAGCCTTGGGCTGCTGATGATTCTGTCTCCCCCTCATGAAGTCAGAGGAGGTCAGAGGACGCCACTTCCTTGTCCTTTTTGCAGTTCTGTATCTATCCTAATTTTATACAATCTTACAGGGCACACAGCTACGGCCGAATTAATGTCAGCTCCCCTCTCTTTCCTTGTCTTTTTCCCCCAACTTACCAATCTATTGATCATCCTTTTTCATATTCTGATTTCTTGTCCAATAAAATTAAAACAGCATATATCAATCAATCACACATAGGCCTAGCAGCAATGCCCCATCCACCATATACAGGGGCAAATCAAGAGAGACATGTCCACAAAGTTTATTTTATATAAGGCAAATAGGCAAGGCACATATCAGCAAACAATTTATCAGTCTTTCCCAAAATCAACTGTATCACAGACATGTCATCAGATTTTAATCAGTACTAATTACCCTGAGAATTACAGGACCAACAGGGTAGGTGATAATTCTAGTTCTTAGTATATACTATCATGGAAGGAAGGGAGACTGGGCAATCTATTTCCATAAAGATTTACCACCTCAGAAACCCAAAGGAGGTCGCTATGAGTCAGAATAGACTCGATGCTTAATGGCAGTGAGTTTGGGTTGTTTTTTTGTTTTGTTTTGTTTTGAGTATGTACTATAATTTTACATGCCTGAAAGCCACCTTCCTTAGTTCAATTACCTAATTGTATGAAATTCCTTGCCTACAGTCAAGTTTCATAATATCCAAAGCTTCTCCTTTCTATAGATTAGACAGAATACTTTTATAAATTGTAAGCCACAATTTACTAGTTTAGACAATTCTCAAATGAATATCTTCTGAATATCTTACTTACCTTGTTTGAACTTTTAATATAATTCAGTCTGATGCTAACTTCATAACCATCTTCATGGACAGTAGCAGAAATAAGCTTTTAAAAAAGTATCAAAGAGAATTCACAAAAATGAGTATGGGATTCACCAACTTGATCAACAATTTAGAAAAATCTAAACACTAATTAACTAATGAACAAATTAACACTAATTAAATATTTAACACAAAAGAATACAGAAAAGGACAGAAGAACAAAAATTGGATGAGATAAATAGAAAACAAAGAGCATAATGTTGTTAAGTGCCGTCAAGTTGATTCCGACTCATAGCAACCCCATGCACAGCAGAACGAAGCACTGCCCTATTCCACACCAGCTCCATGATCCTTGCTATACCTGAGCCCATTGTCACAGTCACCATGTCAGTCCATCTTGCTAATGGGTTCTTTCGTCAGCCCTCCACCATACCACGCATGACATCCTTCTCCAAGGAATGGTCCCTTCTGACAACATGACCAAAGTAGGTGAGATGAAGTCTGGCCATTCTCGCTTCCAAGGAGCATTCCGGTTGCACTTCCTCCAGGACAGATCTGTTAGTTCTTTTAGCAG